GGGGGGTTGGACTAGATGATCTCTAGACATCCCCTCCAACTCTGACACTTCTGTGATTCCGTGAATTATGTTCTGCCTCCAGAATTGTTAAAGTACTTTAATGAATAGTATGGCATGCATAAATAGTCCTGGGGGTGACGAACGTACACCAGGAGCTCCTCCTTGTGAATAAGTGCACAGCTTCACTGGCTGGCAGTCATGCAGCCCCTTAGAGCTTCGCTTTTGAGAGTAGTAGCCTTGTGTTCCTGGTCACATCGTGGTTCACGTTCACTGAAAGAGCCAAAGACCCACCAGGTCTAGAGTACTTTTCTGAGACGCACAAGCTATGAACTGGAATTCCCTTAAGCCAAAGGCTATCATATAATAAGTTGAGCATCTTCTCATTTTTCAAGTGAAGTTTGAAATTATTGGCTTTAAAGGCATTTCTTATCACACAGATATGCTTACCAGTTAAATTGTTGTCTCCTGAAGATTTTACATGGTATTTGGCTTACAGTCTTAGATACAATCACATAAATGGAGCTTAAGATCAGCAGCGAGTTCAGAAGCTGATTATGAATAATCAGAGTTCTAGTTGTTCGGGAGCTGTCTAGAATAAAAGACTAGGAGGGACCTCTGTTAACCCAGAGCACAGCCTCTGGGTTCGATGGACAAACTTATCTGTATGATTATTATTTCAAGAACAAAAGCTTAACCAAAGATTAGGCTGGGAGAATGTTTACCAGGGCCTTAAAATACGTTGGTGAAAGCAAAAGAACAGAAGAGATGACAGTGTAGCATTGCCAGAAATATAAAATGAAATATTATCTTGCACGGCAGCTGTTACTTTAGCCCTGTTTTCGCTTGGTGCATGATATACCGCAATAACCTTCATTCTCTAATTGAATTCCCTTAAGTGCCTTGACATGTCTGCAAGCTCTGGAGATCAAGCAGTCTTGAATAAAAGAAGTGGATGCCAAACAACACAAGATGCTCTCATTTGGTCTTTTTTGTAATATAAACCTTTTTTTTTTTTTTATTGTGTCAGAATAGCTGCTGAAACCGGTTTAGTTTTTAGCGTACATTCTTAAGAATAGCAGTCTTTATGCAGTCCTGCTGGCTTATTCTCTGTTGCTTATCCTGGTAACTTTTGAATTTGTTGAACCTGTTCAACCAATTTTTAGAAAAACAAGAGGGGGAAAAATAGCTTCTAAGTGTCCAGTGGAATAGAGCATGTAGCATGCCATCCGCCCCTCCTCCTTCACTCTTTTTTTCCTGGGGGAATTACCAGAGAACCATGCAAAAGATAGTGTGGCTGTCCCACCATTAACCATTAAGTCCAGGTGCAGGTTTCTGCTCCATTTGGTAAGGCATTATCCAGAATGAAAAGCTGCTCTGAATTAGGGAAAGCAGAAGAAGGAACTTGGACTTCTTATATCCTGAGCCAGCATCCTAACCATGCGCTTGACTGTCAGGTCTTTCCCTTTCAGCTGTAATTTTGTTTCACTGTAACTATTGAAAAGCTCTGGGCTTATTCCAGTGCAAAGCAAAAACAAAAACAGTTTACGAACTTTGAAAGCTATCATGAAACACAATTGTTGTCCTGTCAGCCAGCACGGTTTGGACACTTCACTCATCACTTAAATGAAACCATCTAACTACTTGCCTTTTGTCCACAGCGCTCCTACTTTCGAACTCTTCTTATGTATGGATTCCACTTCCTTGTGTGGTTTCTCTGTGTCAAAGAGATCAGGGACACACAGTGTGGATTTAAACTCTTAACCAGAGAAGCTGCCTTGCGGACCTTCTCAACTCTTCATATAGAACGCTGGTAAATTCTTTCTTTTTTGTCACTTTTTTTTTTTTTTTTTAATTGAACATGATTTTGAAAAAGTAATTTTAGTACTGCAGCTACAATGAAACGTGATGTCTGTGTATAAATCCTAGGTGCACTTGCTTGGCAATTTAGTTTTCTTGTTGTGCTAAAATATCCTGGTATTTGCTAGGAATTCTATTTTATTATGAAGGTATACTTTAGGAAATGATTGGGTATTTAATTTTATTCTTTCTACTCATAGTGATTGGGTAAGAGGTGGACTTACTGAGTTTTAAATTTAAAAAGACCATTCAACATAAACTGCAAGAAGGATTTTAAGACCACATTGCTGAGATTTTGAGTGGTAACAATTGACTCCTTGACTTCTTGCAAGTCCATTTTATTTTGGCATGTGGTATAGAAATGTTGTGTAATACTACCAAGTAGGACATTTTGGGTTTGCCTTGTCAGAGCAGCTGGTTATTGGAAAATGCCAGTAACTCTTCTCTTGTCACCTTAAGAGCAAATCCTCAAAAAATTTTTGATTGTGTTGTAATGCACTCCCTATTTCTGAGAGTCTTCTCACCTTTTCCAGATATGAGCCATGCAAGCAAAGTAAGAAATGGAGAGAAACTCTTTATTATGTTGAGGGAAGTTAAGAGTTAGTAATCCTATTAAAAAATTTTATCAGTCTGCTTTTATGCATTACAACCTCACAATTCATTGCTGCTTAACCAAAACATTTCACCTAAAATTCATATCTGATGCTTACAATCGCTGAAGGCTCAAAGGCAACGCCTACTCTTTGCTTATTTTCTTGCTAGAATATTTCATGAGAGAACTACTGATAGATCTCATTTATGTCAGATAGTAGAAAATTATATATAGTCTTTGAATTACTTCAGAAGTCTCTTTCATTGTAATTTAGCTAGAATTCCTTTATGAGAATGATAGTCATGACTACTGTTAAGGGAATGAAATACTTTCTGCAAATACCATAATTTCTCTAAATTTTCCACATCATAATTATTGTTGAAAAGGCTAGTGACAGTCCTCAAGCTAAATTAAGTGTAATTAGCACTCTTCAAACTATTGTCTTCGAAGAAAGTCTCTTGCGGTCTACTGCTTGCTGACAGGGAACAGAATTACTGGACAATTTTCTCATGTGAAAATGTGTGTAATCCAAACAGTCTTAGTCAATTCTAATATATCTAGTTTTCGATTGTGCTTTGGCAGTGATAGCTGAGCAGTATTGCTCCTCCAGAGTGGATTTTGGATGCATAAATCTGATGCAGAATGTGGAGCTTCTGTTCAGTTGAACCTGGAATTGTGAGGGGAACCAGAAACATGATTTCTGCTGCAGCCTCCAAAACCAGACTTGATCTACAAAGTTTAGTGAATTTCATATAAAGATATTTTCTAAATACATGATTAAACATCTATATGTAACCCAGAGGTGCACATCATAATATTCCTACTTGAATTCACCCTTTAAGTGAAGAGCTTCAAGAAGAAATACTTAAAGAAATCAGTTAATTGCAGTCTTCAGTCTTACTCAGCTGGATCACGGTACAGCTTATTCATACTGAGACCATCTGCAGGAGGTTGCAGAGAAACCACTGTCTTGATATTGGACAAAAGGCTCTGGAATCTGGGGTTTATTACAACCTGTGAATCACTACATTGGGGTAGTTTGTCCTCTGAAGAAATTACTTGATTCTTTTTTGAATCTTAAAATCCCATTAGTGAAGCGCAGCTCTGTTAGGTATTGAAAGAAGAATTCAGTTCAGTGTGGTCATTGCTCAGATATTCTGGTAAGGGAGGAGAGCGATGGTGAATATTCAACAAGCAAGCAGTGTTTAGTAGGTTAAAAGCCGTGTGAACCAGCAATTCAGTTTCTGCAGAACCCTCATCTGTCCAGTCTCCTCAAGTTTTGTCAGGCTCAGATTTTTTGAGGCATTAGAGTGTTAAGTGATTTCTTACATGAAGGCGTTATAAATATTTAGACTAAACATTGATACATAACATATTTACTCATTATGTTAATATAAAATGGATATAGAAGTGGCTACCTAATAATTCCTACCCTGAATTGTTATGTTTACCTCTCGGAATATAAATACACACACACAAAGGACAGGATTTGCTCCATCACATCTAGAGTGTATCTACTTGTTATCTAGCCTCCCTTCTTAGACAATAGAAGGGACAATCGTAGAATTATAGAATCATAAAATGTGTTGGACTAGAAGGGACCTTTAAAGACCATCTTGTCCAACTCCCCTGCAGTGAGCAGGGACGTCTTCAGATCAGGTTGCTCGGAGCCTCATCAGGCCTGACCTTCAGTGTCTACAGGGATGGAGCCTTCACCACTTTTCCGGGCAACCTGTGCCAGTGTTTCACGACCCTCATTGTAAAGAACTTCTTCCTGATATCTAATCTAAATCTACTCCGCTCTAGTTTAAAACCATTGCCCCTTGTCCTGTCACAAGGATTGTAAACAATCCCTCCCAGCTTTCCTGCAGGCCCCCTTCAGGTACTGGAAGGCTGCTATAAGGTCTCCCCAGAGCCTTCTCTTCCCAGGCTGAACAGCCCCAGTTCTCTCAGCCTGTCCTCATAGGAGAGGTGCTCCAGCCCTTTGATAATTTTTGTAGCCCTAAATGTTAGGGTGTAATTCATTTCATCCTAGTATAGACCTCTATGTCAGGTGAAGTGCAGCTGATAAATACCTTTTCCTGCCCTCAACTATAAAGGAACTCTGCACAACTTGTACAGAAGGAGCTGTCTCTGCTGTAGATGGCTGAAGTTCACGAGGACAAATTTGACTTAAAGTGTAATGATAGTATGTAGGATAAAAAACACACATCAGGTTGCTGGTGCCTGAACTGCATCAAAAAGATAAACTATTCAGTAAATCCTGAAAGTTGAGAGTTAGAAGAGAAACTACTGAAGCAGTTTTATATCAAAGGCCGCTCACTTACTGAGCTTCATAGGTGGCACCTGCTGTTTCTGTAGACAAAAACCCACAAGAATTCTCCCCTTTGGATGAAGGAATCCGATAGAGTCTTTGATGACATGAGAGCACCAGTGCTGAGTTAGCACTGAGCGGTAGGAGACTGCCCTGAGGTGCTGGATATTGTCAATACTTCTCCAAAAGGTGGAGCAATTCAAGAAATAATACAGATTTTATTTGTATGTGTCTCAGCAGGCTGATACCACACCTCCCAGTCTCTTTCTTGGAAGCTGAACACCTTACGCTGTGGTGGTAGATGTGTCGATGTAAACAGTGCAGCTGTCCTGCTGCTGGGTTGGACAGGCTGAAAGATTTCTGAGTTTCAGTACTTAAATAGCTGTCGATCAGATGCCAAAAATAAACGCATAGAGTGTTTCTGGTGTTTCGTGAGCACCACCAATAAAATGGAGTCCTGTGTTTCCATGTTCAGTTTTCGTATGAAAAAGAAGGGGAGCACATCAAGACCTCCCTTTACATAATCCTAGGTGCACCTTTGACAGTTGCAGTATTAGTTTAATCATAAGGGAACAACCTGTTTTCAGCTGCATTAGGAATGTGAAGTTAATAGCTTAGACCTTCACTTTTTTTCTGCTTTCCTCATGCTCTTCCTATTTCATTTGACATTGAATTGAATATCACCCCTTCAATGTTAAAAATACTAGAAAATTGAGACCACAGTTTTCTTCTTGCTGTGCTGAATTTGATTTATAGCTGCTTATATTTAGGAAACCTTAAAAGCAAACTGAAATAGAGAAGGAAAAATACTGTTTTGGCATTATGGTGTTTAGGAATCATATGACGCTTTTTACAGAGAGGCCAAGATATTTACTAGAATATTTTGTAATCTAACCCTAAAGTTTAGAAAGCATTTGGTTATTAATAAAAACTGGAAATTGTTTATATATTTGATACTAAGAAATCATGCTTATGTCCTAAACTAGCTTTTTTTGGTGTGAGTGTTCTCATTGACGTTTTTGTTTGACTGTCCTCTGGAGAGCTGGCTGTGTATATACAAATGCAAACCAAACATTCTTGAAATTTACTTTCTAAACAGCAAAGTTTTGACATTAGTTTGAAATGAGAGCATCCTTTAGAACAGAGAGCATATGCTTTGTGTTTTAGGTTCTGAATCTGATTACACCACTGATGTATTCTTCAGAAATGGCTGGCACACATTTTTTAAATTAAAACTTAAAAGAAAATTAAAAGGGATGTTTTAAAAGCATAATACAGACAGTTGGAATTAGTCACTTTCAGACTCCAAAAGGGGCTGTAGTTCTGCATCTCCAGTCTTGACCTCAGAAATGGAACTGCAAAATATTAAATTTTAATGCACGGGAGGAAAACTGGAAAATTAAATGGTCTCGCTGGCAGAATTTTCCTGTCCTAAAATTGGTCATTGATTTCTTCTGGCTATAGAAAAAAAAATCATTCCTTTTCTGCCAGCCAGAAAATATCTCCTTACCTAGAAGAACTAGACGTAGGAATGGTTACTGTCCTACCTGCAATGAAGATAAAATAAGGGGAAATTCAAAACGTAATTCTATTCCCAGTTTGATTGACATGCTTTTGTCAAGTGGCAATTTATAATTATATTACACAACTCAGCAGATCAGTGATTAGATCAAATTGTCGCTATTACTTTTGTCTATAAAAATCACCTTGTTTGCTGAACAAGCCATGCTGTTTCATATTTATAACTCGAAAGCTCAATATAAAAAATTAATGTTTGTTTCTGCAGTTTGTCACTAATCTCTAAATGTGAATCTCTATATTAAAATTACAGAAAAATAAGCATTCATATTGCTACAGGGATTTTTTTTTTCCACTACTCTGGCATTGTAGACCAACACAAGCAATGGAATGAATTTTTTTTCCAGGTTTTGTGCACAACAAGAAGAATTGTTTATGAACATCTAATCAACACAGAAATTTTTCACTGTTAAAACTATGTCTGTTATGTCTTGTAAAAAAATCCTGCTTCTCCCAGACATGTGGATTTTTGAAAGCCCCAGTACAGCTACAGCAGGACTGGCAGTCTAAATTTCTTGACGTCCTGTTTCATTCTTAGATCTCTTTGGCCCCTGAAAATTTTCTCTGCCTATTAAGATTTTGCTGTAAAAGTATAGTTTGGGTGTATAGAAGTCCGAAATTCCAGTTAAAACAGTATAATCAAAGGCTAGTTTTTGATATTTGAAACAATATTGGACTAGCACAAAAAAAAAGAGTCTGAGTGCATCTTAAAAATACGGAATAATTTTGGGGAATACGTATTTTATAAGATGAAGTGTTTTAAGGGTTTATTTTAAATTCAGTTCAATTAAACACCTACCAGCTTGGTGTTCAGCTGAATTTCAGCCACCGCTGTCTTAAATTGTAGCTTAAACAGAAGTAGCATAAACACAACCACATGGAGATTTTCTTTCCGTATTTTACACTTCATGCTTGTGTTAGCTGGTACATAACAGAGACACTATTAGAAATAGATGGGGAAATTGTTAGCACAGTATATTTTTGGGTGTCTGACTTTGGGCAGTTAGACTGGAGCCAGAATTCATTCAGCCTGGAACCAAACTTAGATATTCTGAGCTATGTTCCCCTTTCCCAGAGGTACCTCCTTGCACTCTCTGCAGCAGGATCCGGTGAAATACATGGTGTGTGAATAATTCCCGGCTCTTTCTGACAGCAGTTCTGTCAGATGTGAACTGGTCACAAATGGCTTCGTGTCAAAACACACGTGTTGCACTCACCAATGCGTTCACTGGGGTTGCTTTGATCTCCTCTAGGGTAGGCTCCAGCTGACATACCCACGCTTAAACCCTGCCTGTGGAAACTTCTGTACGATTCTTCAATACCCTGTAGTATGGATGCCATACTGTCAGTGTGTTGAATACCCTGCGATCTGTATTCCCTGATTAACTACTCTAGTATGTGCGTGAGGTGTCATGAAAGGTGGTAGGGAATGAGGGAAGAAGAAAAATATCCCAGCAGTATATGACAAAAGTCATTCCCCTTTCAGCTTAGAATAGTTGGGTTTTTTTTAATTTCAGGATGCATTCATTGTTACACAAATGGCAACCACATGTAACAGTATTAATGTCCAACTTGATTAATTCCTGTGCTTTTCATCTTTTACTTTGAGCGCTGTAGTTCATCAAACTATTTAATGTTGCTGCACTGTGATGTATGTGCTGGCGTTCCAGTAATCTCTTGTCCATAGGAATTGCTGCAAATAACTATTAGTTTGCCAGGCTAATACTTTATGTAGTAATATTTTTAGAGCAGCTCATATACTATAATTCATCAGACAATTATTCTGTGTCTCAAGATTTTTAGTCAGTTAAGTAGTAAGTATTACAGAATTAGATTTTGTCTTAATACACATGACTCATAAACATTCAAAGGTGGATACATGAAGGTTTTGGCTTACAAATGTAAAATGTCAGCAAAAAATTAAATATTGCAACTTCAGTAGAAGAGACCATAGCATAATTAATAAAATGATAGTCAACTCTCATTTAAAGAAAACAGTGAAATGACAAGGCTACTTGGAGCAAATTCATTTGACTGAGGTAAAAAAATAAATTATTCCTTTAACTCTTTCTGAGACAATTAAAAGCCTGTGTCCTAATCAAAATCAGTTTTACAAAGTGGTTCTAAATTTTCTGTACACAATAATCGTAGTCTCTGCAGAGAACCTCTGTTTAGTCTGTTATGCTGTCCAGAGGGCTATCGGTAGCTCTTTTGGAACGTTGTAACATACAGTGCCAGGTTGGCTTGATGCGTGTTTGGTGACAATTTCACCAGGAAGCCAGTGTGCAGTGGTCTCTACTTCAATGAGAATCCATATACGTGTATCATTCCTGAGGGCGGGTTTTGAAGTGGATTTGTGTTGTTGCGACCATTAATAGTTTTGCAGAAATGTGTTGCGCTGCTTGAAAGGAGAAGGTGGCTTAAAGTAGAAGGAAATAACATCTGAACTTGGCTATCAGCATGCCAAAGTATGTCTGTTTGCCTGCTCTTGATCACCTGCCTGCCCCTATCTAGCCTTTCTGCAGTGTTAAATGGTATTACTAATGACTCGAATTCAAGGAACCCTTAAAGCATGAGTGAATAATGCTGGGTGTTTTTTAGTTGCATACATTTTCTTCAGTGACAAAGATGTTTATTTTTTCTGTTTCGAATGAAAATTGTCTTAAACTCAGCGATGAGAATTTAAGGACATTCTAAAGTTATGAAGTTATTGAGAGAAAATGTGTATTAGTGTCGAATTGTACTTGACTGCCTCGCAGCTGTGTTTTCAAGACCTATGTAAGCTGGTTTGGAACATCCGTTCCATTGACTTTACACTGGAAGCCTTACCAACAGCTTGGCTAAAACATGTCAAATTCCTTTACCTTCAAGGTTGAGTTCCCTGGGAAAAACCTCTGGTTTTGAATATATATTGAATCTAGTAGAAGTCAGATGTAGATGGCCATGGACAGTTTTTCCTAATACAGACTAGTATTTTAAAAAGCTTTTTATTGGATTTGGTAGGGGGCTGTTTAGCTTAAATTCCAATTATTAGAGCTCATTAAAGGAACAAGAACCCCCTTACTGGTATTTGAAGACTATAAAGAGGAGGGAAGGGAAGGGAAGGGAAGGGAAGGGAAGGGAAGGGAAGGGAAGGGAAGGGAAGGGAAGGGAAGGGAAGGGAAGGGAAGGGAAGGGAAGGGAAGGGAAGGGAAGGGAAGGGAAGGGAAGGGAAGGGAAAGGAAAAAGAAAAAAGAAGAAAAGAAAGAGAAAAGAACCAACAATCAATAAATCTAAGAAATTTAACCAGAATCACCAGAATATTCATAATTGTGATTTGGATTCACCCACGTCAGTAATAGGTACTGGTAATTTGGTATGCTGATTTCTACATGAGCATTACAAGCTGTAGGTGCCAAAACACTTTTTAGTATCAAAAGCCTCAGCCGTGCAGGCCCAGAAGGGCCACTGGCACACACAGAGGTGAGAATGAAATACACAAACAATTCTCTGTGCAGAGAATTGAGAGGGTCAAAATGTGTTTTGGACAAACTGGACAGGGAGGGGCAGTTAAGAGTAGGATCACTTCCCCAGCGCATTTTGCTGTGCAACCTGCGAAGAGTTGTGGCCACCAAATAGACATGTCTCTCGAGGGTTTTTGTGTTGTACATTAAATGGTCACTGGATAAAGTACAACTGTTGTTTGGGTTCTGTTATAAGTAATTCTGTGCTCCTGCCTTTATTCTTGACTTAGAAAGTACAAGGAGAAACCATCAGATCAGGGTGAAGCCACAGCAGGTAGTTGTCCCCTTTGATGAAGCTACTGAAGATGTGGATTGACACTGCACTTTTACTTGGTCTTTAAAAATGTTTAAATCATGATTGTGGCAGAGTGAAAAGTGAGCAGTGTCCTGAACACAGCAGGACCTACCCCTTCAAAAACAGGACGCAGTGAGGTATTTTTGTCTGTATGTGTGTGTTCTGAGCCATTTAGTTAGGGAAAGCAATTACCTTTCATATGCATCTGACCTTTAGAATAATTGATATCAACTTCATAGCTGAACACCAACCTCCCTAAATCAGGCTAGGATTTTAATTGACAGTGCCACCATCTTTCTTCTGGAAATAAGTGTGACTGTATTTGCTATTTCCTGTTCTTCTTCAGGGCGTTTGATGTGGAACTTCTTTATATAGCTCAGCGCTTGAAAATACCTATAGCAGAGGTTGCTGTCAACTGGACTGAAATTGAAGGTAGGGAAATTGTTTATGTTCTTGTACGATTCCTTATATGTCAATCCCGAATAAAATATCCCAAGGTCTTCCCATATTTTATCCAGTTTTGGTAACACACAGCCTTCTTTCCATACAAATTTTCAATTTCATGACCTTGCCAGCCTTCTGCTATGGCATGGTAAAGGAAGAGTAGGTGAAGGAGTGGCAGGGGGGAGAAACCCTGCACTCCCACGGGAGACAGAAGTAGGTAGTTATACTGCTAGGACAAAGCACTATTTTGGCACATCCTCTTGCTGCAGTTTTATTAGTAAAAATATTGCCGTTGTGAAACACTCTGCAGAAAGTCTGAACATTGGCTGTTGACTCAACTCCATTTCGCTCTGTCTTGTCTTTCAGAATTCTCAGCCCACTTATTAAGGCCTTCTCTGTGGCACCCTCTCTTCTTAAATTGTGATGTTCTTTCAGAGCTGTAGGGAGGTCTCTGGTACTAGGTTACTGGAAAGTACAGGTCCACACATATTTCTTCATAGCAAAGCCAACTTAAGAGGTACTACTTGCTTCTGCTCACTTCTTCACTCCCATCAAATGCAGTTCCTTCTTTTTTTCCCTTCCATGTTTTTCTTTTTTTTTAAATCTGAATCTTTTCTCCTTAACACAACCCCTGAACAACAGGAAGTGTAATGAACTGCAATGGGAATGAAGGGTGCAAGTGGAGTACATCCTGAGCCAACTTTACTAGAACCAAAATGTTTTCTTTCGGTGCAGTTCCACATGTATATCGCACATAACACAGATGTTAGCAGAGATGAAAGAGGGCTTGGTTTCATAGTGTGCGTTCTTTACCTTGCCCAAAGATTGGCACATTCATATCATTACTGTAAGGTGGTGATCCTCTTCTCCAAAGTTGCTAACAAATCATTTACTTAGTTGTTGGTGTTCAGGTTCCTATCTGAACAAAGCATTGTCCCAGAGAAGACCATGCATCCTGTGGCGTACATGAAATTACTGTGCTGCTTGCAAACTAGAATCTCCCACCTGTGGTATAATATAATTACTATAAAGCAATAGCTTTTACATTGTAAATTTTCATTAATGGTAAGGTCTAGGTTGTAGGGCTGAATGTGCTGTGAATGCAGAGGTTCATGACTACTGAAATGTGTGTCTTGCCAATGCTCATTTTTTTCTAACATCATCCTTCTGATTTTCTTCTTCATTAATCACAGGTTCTAAGCTAGTTCCTTTTTGGAGCTGGCTGCAGATGGGCATGGATCTTCTTTTTATACGACTGCGATATATGACTGGTGCCTGGCAGCTTGAAACAAGAAAATGTAATTAGGTTATTTACATTTTCCAAATATATTATTATACTTAATGGAACATGAGAACAGTTTCAATCAAGTGAAGTGGTGATGAAAGCTGAGGTAATTCTTCATTGCTCCTGTTGTATGTTTCATTTTTGCGGCGTGTATATGTTTTATAAGATTGTCAGCAGGGAATTTGTACAATGTTTTGAAAAGAGAAAGCATTTCCCAGACGATTTTCTTATCTGGTAATCAAATTTTTACTTTACTGAATAGTAGCTTTCACATGTCTTATAAATTCACTCAAATAAATGTATCTGCTTTTTTCTCATCATACATTTGGAATTCCCTTGTATGTGATAAGAAGTGGCACATTGTGCAATACTGTGTTGTGGAAGACCACAACCAATTTTTTTCTGTAGTCTGTAAATATCTGGCCATATTGCAACTTGCAATTATCAATCATGGTTCAGGCTGATGCATATTTAGATACAATGTTATGGGAAACATTAATGGGTTTTGCTCATAAGGCTGTTCTGAGAACTTTCAGTAGTCTCTTGACATTCCAAATGTTTTTGCCTGAAGCTGAAAATAGTTCGTCTGAGATCAAACTGCACATCGTCCCCGGACTGTAGAAGGGCCAAGAAAAAGCGCATTTCGTTTTAAAATATTGACTTTTATAAATATGCTTTGTTCCTATGTACTAATTAATACTGCATGCTCAGGGCCAGGAGTCCTTGGCATCTACAGCTCAGTAGTGAAAAGCTAATGGAGAGCACACAAAAATGAGACCCAGTGTATGTTGGGGACCTGTGTGTTAGCAATGCCAGTCTGACACTGTCGTGCTTCAAATGGGGTTGGAGAGGGAGGGAGGGGTCTCGAGTCTTTCTCAGTAATGTCATACTCTGTTACAGTACATGTTTCAATAGTGCTTTCAAAACAGATGTGGAGTGCCGATAAACTAAGCCAATCTTGCTTTTGGAAACGTACAAATATGAGCAGATTTATAGAACGAACGGTGTATGGTTGTACTTACGATTGGTGATTTTTCATATTCCTTCTGCAATCCTGCGTGGAGTTTTGCTCCTGTTAGGGTTACCTCAGTTTTCTATACATGCAACTGTTGAAATAAATTCTCAAAAAATACATTCAGTTTGATTTCTCAGGCTTTATTCTCTTGCCTGCTCTGCGTACATCTCTCTCACTTCTGCAGAATCAATTACAACCTCTCATTGCCATTGCTAGAGTAAAATACCAGCTTCTCAGTGTTTGTAAAGTGAATTTCCATGATCAAACCTGGACAGTGACAACTTTGCCTATAATTAAGGTTGACAACCAGTTCTCAAAACAAGATTCCTAGAATTTTCCTCATGTCCTACCTTAAAATTGAGCTTATTTGAAATTTTAAACAGAGTAGTTTATCTTTCTTAAGCGATAACACTTAGATCATGCATTATTTTCTGCATAAGTAAACATCTCATGACATCTTTTTAAAAAATCTGCTTTTGATATAGATGCGAGAGCTTGTAAGGGTGGTGTTAAATTTATGATTTTTTAAAAAAACATTTTATCCATGTTCTACAAATTTTTTTCAGAACTTTGCAGATAAACTCTCTAGTAAGTCTCTCTCTACTGAGCAACAGTGCATATGTCAGTCCCAACAAAATACTGAATATCTTCCAGCTAAAAGCTGCGTAAATAAGGCTAGATTTACCATCTTTTAGCTTTGTGGGGTTGGATGCTCCCACTTGGGGGCAGGGAACTGTCTTATGCTTTCAGTGGATTTGAGCCATGGATAAAGGTCACTACATGGTTTTCTGATCCAGAATCTGCTCTCTGGCTCTGAGGCTGACAGACATGGCACGGGTCGCATCTGTATGCCTACGTCTTCCTTCTCAGCTGCCTTTCAAAGCACGCTCGCTACCTCTGAACTGTTGGAGATAGTCCTTGGCCTGCTCTGACTGCCACACTGTGCCCAAAAATATTTTGAGAGCGGGAGTACCCAGCAGAGTGTAGTTTACTTGTGTAGGGATAGCCTGACATGGTCTGCTGCAGTGGGGATAAAAGCTGAACTGGGATGAAAAAACAAAAGGAGGAAACTGGAGTGGAAGGAGAATGGAGAGAAACAGAAAAAGGAGGCTGACCTGGGAGCTGAGATTCAAGGCCAGAGAGTGAAATGGAAGATGGGAAGTACTGGGACTGCGTGAGGAGTGGGGGTGGAACAGTAGTGGACTTGGCAAAGAGACTGGAGCGAGAGACCGGGGAAGGAAACAGATCAGTTAAGGATGGAAAAAAAGAAATGTTGCTAGTGAGAGAGGAGGAAGCTGAAGAGGCTCACTAAGCCAAGTCCTCCACAAGAATAGGGTTAGGACAGAAACTGACTGAAACTAGTTGGGGTTGAAGATACGATATTCATGGTCTGGGCTCAAAACCAGGACCCCTTTGTGAGTGTTTCTCAGTTGTCTCTTAGCCTCTACAAAATCATTTGGCAAATTGTATCTCATTTTCTTTTTGTGCCAGTCCATAAAGAGAGTAACTGCCTACCAATATCAGTTAATCTTCTAGCCCTGGTGACTAAAGTCTGTGGTATATTGTTGTGGTTCAAGCCAACTGAGACAAAAAACCACAAGGTCACCAGCTCACTCCCCCCCCCCGCCATTTCCACAGGAATGTGGAGGGAGACAATTCAACTAAAAAGGCTCAAGAGTTTGAGATTAAGGATAGGAAAGGTAATAATCTACCCATTAAGATGACAGGTAAAGAACCAGAGTGACTTGGGGAGAAAAAACGGATTTAATTAACCACCACCATTTACGAGGTAGGATAATGAGAGGAGTACATCAATAAATGTGACCCAATCTTAAATACACTTCGCCCTCACCCCTCCCATCTTCCCAGCTACCTCCTCCCCCACAATCAGTGCAAGGAGGGCAGAGGGTGGGGGGTGCAGTCCATCTGGTCCGTCTGTCATGGTCCATGGCAGCTCCTGCTTGAGGAAGAGGGCTCCTCGCAGTCTCTCCTTCATGCCGCGTGGTGTCCACCTCACGGGAGGCAATCTTCTTCCTCCTCATGAGTCCATCGGGGCCACTGGTCACTTCAGACACATCCCCCACTGATGCTCGGTCTCTCTCCCCTCTGGCACAGGGCTCTGCATGCAGAGTGTACATCCTGGGCATTTTTGCTGCCATCGATTCCCCCAGCTGGCAGGCAATCACCTTCCTGCCATCTCAGCCACCACGGGGCTCCAGAGGGAGGTTCTGCTCCGGCAGCCTTCTCCCTCTCCTCCTCTGGGAGAGAACAATGGGGTCGCCTCTTAAATACCTTGATCTCAGAGGCACTGATTGGCCTGGCCCTGGCCAGAGGCAGGTCCAACTCCTACCTGGGGGTGGGGGAGGCTCTCAAATCTGTACACGCGTCTACCCCCGCTTTTACAAAAAACCCCACCAGGCTCAATCCCATGACAAGCATCCAACTCTAAACCACATGAAGGAGCAATGGAATCTTTCACAAAGATGTGGGAGATGATACAAACCACGTTTCAGTGAAAGCTCACTTTTCAGAGTTACAAAGCCAGGTTTGAAAGATGTAGGGCCTTTCCGACTCATTCCCACATTGTGTATATGTGCTGTGAGAGGAGACACTTGCTTATGTAAGGACTGCTTTTCCTAAAAGACATATTTTTAGTGTGGAGGACTGATGCAGGAATCACTGTATTATATGACAAAGGCAACTTGCTTATTGGTCTTCTGTGTAGAAAATGGAAGTTTGAATAGGGTGTAAATGAGACAAAGGATTAAAGAGAGGCAGTGTGTTATCCCTTATCAGATAAAGTTAAAATAAGATAGGAATGTGGTTCTCTTCCCTCTTGCCCAAATGGTAAACACGTTCAAAGAGGATATTAGAGGTACTAATTCAGTTTCTCTATTGTTCGAGTCCTCATCCAAGCCCACATCTTAAGAAATGATGAAAGAATTCCCCAGCACTTCTGCAAATCCCTTCAAAGGGATACTTGGAGATCTCAGGGTTGGAGATATGGCACTATCTCTTTCAGCAGATCAGAGTTTAAAAAAGTGAATTCCAAGTCTTCCATAGTGTGTTCTGGGGTTGAAACATTATGGGTTGCTTTTCTGAGAACTGTTTTAATTTGCATAGAATGATCTCAGGCCTGGAGCAGTTACTTGCACTTGTTGAACCAACTGCTTCAAGCATTCTCTCAAGCAGAGGCAGCAAAGTAGACTTACTTTTACTGAGAGAGTTGGTTGGCTTTGCCCTCTGTCACTCATGCAGTGATCAGAAGTCTTCTGGGTAGCATACCCAGCTCCTTGTATCCGCAGATTATGAAATGCAAGACACACAGGCTGTCACAGGAGACCAAGACTCCACTAGGCACGTGCTCTAATAGAAGGTCCGGCTCATGCTTGGTTGTAGGCTTTTCCTCACGGTCAGTTTATCAGCATTCCTCTAAATGTGTGTTGGACAGGTACATGTAGAATTCACACACCTGAAGCAAAGGTGTACCTGCTTTGTGGATCACAACAAGGAGCACAGAAAAGATTAGCAAAAAAAGTGGCTTTTTGCTGTCAAAACTGAAGTATGTAAGAGCCTGTCCGTAGTGAAATTTAGTACACCTGAGAATCTTCAAAAATGTTTAAGTCCATAGATTTTACATATCTTCAGGTCAGGCCAGAGCAGAGTGAAGATTTTGAGCACTGACAAATTTCAGGTTTGGGTCCACTTGCATAAGTCCACTTGCGTCTTGAGGTCAACGTTAACTTAATCTGCATATTTACTGAATGCAGAGAAAAAGAAGTGCAATGCCAAGTGTGCATTGAAAACTGTTAAATAAATTTGAAGAATAACCAGATATTTTGAAAATCAGCTATGCAATGGCTGTGGATTATTTAAATAAGAGATGACTGCCTGGCAGAGACCCCAAATTATGGTACTAGTTACACAAGCAGGAGTCTTGACACGACAACATTTTACACTAACCTGAGAGTTTTACAGAAATTCCAGAGGCAGAGTGATGGGAAAC